ATGCTAAATAACCCAAATCAACTGAGACACCCAAATCCACGCCACATGAGCCCCCAAAACCTGCCATTAGGCTGCACAGGGACTAAGAATCCTTCAGCCCTCAGGGCTGCTGTTGGGCAGGAATATTCCTTTCACTCTCTTGCAACATGCCCATCAGAATGACCTGAGATCAAGAAGGAAAATGGTCTCTGTTTTCCCTGTTCCCAGCCTCCTTCTTCCCTACACAAACACTACCCAGAGACACTCCACACTCACACAGTGCTGCCTTTTACAAGCCCATGTCTTGCCAGACCCAAGGAGCTCAGATAAGTCATTACCTAGCATCTCTGGCTTCTGGGAAAAGTGGCTAATGCTCAATGTGGGTAACCAAGGTCTCTTCTCATTCTGACAAGTTGGCCTAGCTCAATGCTAGCCAACTCACCGTCTTCTCCCAGCAGTGTTTGCATAAAAAGACTGCACCAAGAGCCTAGTGCGGGGCAACACGCTAGAAAGCTCTACCTTTCGTAACCTATGTTTGGAATATCCGAAATCTACATGGATGCATGCTACATTATGACCTCAGCAACCTGTCTCACTTTTCCTTACTGAAGCTTATCAAGAGCTTCCCAGCACTGTCATTTTGGGTGCTAGTAAGGACAGATTATTTTGTAGCTCCGTTTTCTTCAGAAGACTGTGAGTGTAGGTGCTATAACAAACACACAGGCCATGTCCTGAACTGAAGGGCTTGGCAGGCCTTCCTTTTGTAGTCAGGTTATGTTCTCAAATGCGTTTTATCAGTAGTTTTGAGTTACTTCATGCTAAAACTCAACTGCAATCAGACCTCAGGGGTTCTGGGCTCAACCTATGGATTTTCTTACTGTGTGACTTTAGACTGACTCTCCTGTCATCTAGAAAATGGACAGAATACAATTCATTTAGACAAAAGGCAATTTAAGGGCACCCTCAGGATGATATCTGGGGCTGCCTTTTCTCTCTAAGTCTGATTTCTTTTAGTGTTTTAGTGTGATTCTCTCTCTTTTTATCCCTCTCTGTCTCTCTCTCTCATACACTCATACACACACACACACACACACACACATACACACACACACAAAATATAAAGCACACTTTTATAATCACTAGTGAATGACATGGCTATGGGCATGGTTTTTCTAGGCTCTGGGTGAAAAGGAGACCTTCCTTCATAATTACAGCTTAGTGGGTGATGATATATCCAGACATGAATTACCAGTAGGTCAGTTGAATATCACCTGCGGCAGGAATATGAATGGGCCCTTATCTGTAGCTATGACTAGGAATATGGAATAAAGTTCAGTAATGGTGATGCAGGAGCCAAGAACTCTGTACTGAAGCCAAAGCCAGCTCTACCACTCCCCCACCCCACATACCCTCAGTCACATGTATGAAGTGTTAATTAGTGACAAGAGTCCACCTGTGTCTTAATCCTTCTGTGAAGGACACGGAGAGACCCAAGGAATGTTCCCATTCCTAACATGAAGAACAGATGGTGCATTCAAGCAAGACATGCAGCACTTAAAATTCATTTAGGAGGTAACTTCTTGCAGAATAAAATTACCTGACCTTGGATAAAGCATGTTCTTTGTACTCAGTTTCACCATCTCTAAAATAGGGCTAGAGGGACAGAGAGGAAAGATAACTACTATTTAATAATCTAGTATATTATCATATCCCTACTCCAAAATTAATCAGCTGAACAAATGAATGCTAGACATTGTGCTAGACATAGCAAAGGAAAGGGCCCATAATCATAGCAAATTGATTATTTCAGCATGCAAGCACAAACTGAGTGCTCACCATTTATTTTCCTGAGGTTTATAAGGAATACAGAAAACAGTGGGCTGGTGTCTCTCTGTGCTGTAATTAGAAGAGGTTCAGAATGTGTCTATGAACAAAAGAAAATGGAGCTTTCTGATTATATCACTTTGATAGCCATAAACAGTAAGGTAGGGAGGTACATTCTGGCGGAAGCCAACATTGCATTTGATGTATTCTTCACTCAGCTACCAGGCAGGCTTTCAAGCCATGTTATCTGCCCCCACATCTTGACCTAATTTAACAAGTTGCCATGGGAGCTCAGTGAAGGTTGATGCAATTTTCTTATCTTTGAAGGAAGAGTGTAACTGTGCAAGAGAATGTGAAAATTCCGTCTCTAACTGATTTCCACACTTTACAGTGCAGGAACTGAGATATCACAGGAAGAAGGAGAATGTATTCCTGTAGAGGCAATATGGACAGTAACCTCAGCCCCTAGCCTGGGGCAGGCAGATACATCCTTTTCTCAGCCAGGTGCCTCTGGGCAAATACATGTAGTAGAAGCCAGGTAGTCACGGTACAGAAGCCTAAGTGTCCCTACTGTAGCTGACACACGAGCCACAGCGATTGAATTTCAGGGCAGAACCAGAGACAGAAAATTAGTTTGATTTTTATAAACATGACAAAAATACTGCCAATAGTGTTAACACAGTGATTTTTACTTTTCAAAGTACTTTTCAACTATCAGGTCACCCCAATATGCCTGCAGAAAGCGAGACACCTATTTGTAAACACTCTAGCCATCACCTTAAGTAAGAGACAAGGCAGAACACATATGTCCCATCTCTTTTTAATCACTGTTTCTGAGATGAAAGGGGGCCATGAAGCCACAGGCTCAAAGAACCTAAGTGTCCCCCGAAGACAGAGCTCATGGGGAAAATCACCAAAATTTGGTCTGCTCTTATACACCTAACAAACTCCAACCTTTATTTGGGCCACAGCAACAAGAGATTCTAGTTCAAGTCTAAAAACACTTAGAATACACTGGACAAAACAGAAAGCCTTGGCGGGGGGGGGGGGGGGGGGGGG